CCGGGTGTTTGCTCCCCGGCCCCGGCGCCTGCGGCTTCCGTCTGCCCCGGGGCGCGCGGGCGTTTCCTGGAGCCTCAAGCTGTTTATCGGGAAAGTCCGTTTTCCCCCTTTTAACAGCTCAATTGGGAAAAAAAATACTGCGGGGTTTTCGCTGAGGCCAACAGAGAAACAGAGCTTTGTGCTGACTTTGATACTCACCCTGCTCAAATATTCATTATGTTCACTATATTCACTAGTGAATTAGTGAATAGAATATTCACTATATTCATTAGTAGTGTCATTAAACTTACCTCGTGCAAGTGAAACAAACTGTTTTCCTTCCTTCTTTCTATCAGGTGCAGACACTGCTTCAACAAATGCAGGACAAATTCCAAACCATGTCTGACCAGATCATTGGAAGAAATATCCTTTTATTTTATTATTTCATAAGTCAGATATCTGCCCTATGGCTGCACAAATGTATGTATGTGTATTTGTTTATTTGGCGGGGGAGGGAGGGTTATAAGGCAAGCTGCAAATGATTGTGAGAGCTTGAGCAAAGCCATAACCAAAAACCAAAAATCCCTCGCTTGCAGTTATATTCCTGAATTTCAGCTAACTTGACGACATGAGCTGTCGCATAGATGACCTGGAGAAGAACATCGCGGACCTCATGACACAAGCAGGAGTGGAAGAACTCGAAGGCGAGAACAAGACCCCTGCTCCTAACAAGAGCTAAAGTGAGGCAATCGCTTGCTGGCCCTGAAACAAATTCTCTCTTTATGGGAAATTATTGGCTTTGAAGTAGACAGTATTTTGTCCCTTAATTTGTGAGGCAGTCGAATTCATGGAGAGTAGCTCTGTAATTAACAATACAAGAAGCAGGACAGTGATTTGCTCTCCTCAGCAAGCACCTACTTCACCAGTTGTGTTTTCTTCACCAGTAATGGATGAAAGTTGTGTTTTCTCCATTTTTAGTTCGTTAATGAGGAAGTAGAGTAGCTCTGTGCAGCCCCTGTTACTCACCCGCTCTGGGTCTCTTGGTAATATCTGAAGTTATGACACACAGCACAGGAAGGGGAAGAGATAGGAAAAATCTAGAGGATCGGTAACAAAGTGAACTGATCTTTTCCCTTCTCTTTGGAAAGCAGCAGTAAATGTCCAGTACGGCAACATGTTATGTGTTAATTGGTCATCTGAATTTATTTACAACATTTACAAGACTATCAGATCATAAACAAGCTGTGCTGGAAGGCTTAATTATTGTATACGAGCAGTGATATTTCACTTCAGTGAAGTGAAGATAGATTAATTTTTGTAATCCTTGGAAAACAACTGTTAAATAATGTACCAGCTGTACCATGTTAGTGTAACATAGTTTTTGTTTGTTTGTTTTTAAAGTGGTTAGTAAGACCTGTCTTAAATAACCTTCCTTATGCCTGAAATTCTCATGTTGGTTCTAGAATTCTGTGCAGTCCATATAATTGGCATGAAATATTCTTAGTGTGCTTCCTGATGCTCTCACAGAAATATAGGTTAGGGGGGGCTTTATTGTCTCAGAAACTAACTTTTTTTTTTCTCTAACCCACAAAGAAGTGTGTTTTTTTTTTTTAATCCTTTTTATACCCCTCTCTCCTCACCCTCAGGACTGTGATGTCTTTACTAGTATTCCATTAAATGCGCTTTTTTTGAAGGATATGTTTCTCTAATCTTCTCAGTAACATTTTTTTTTTTAATCTTCCCCCAACAGGTTCCTGGTAATTTAAGATGAATGCTGGAACACTTTTTGTTTCCTTTTGTTTGTTTAAACAAGCCCTTGGAATTGCAGAACCGCTTTTTGCAGCTACGTTGTGTATGAGCATTTTTATATCGTTACAGAGCTTGCATTCCTGATGTATAGTTAGGGATAGGTTAGTTAATATTTTGATTCATGTACTGTAACTTCACTTTTTGAATTCTTGTTATGAGGATCAACTTGTGTTATTAAAACACAGATCTTACGGATCTCAACTACTGAGTGATTTTTTTGTGAAGTCACTTTTCCGCTGTTTCTTATACTTTTTCTAGATGTTTCATTTTTGATAGCTAAAAATGACTTCTATCAACTGGAAATCTTAACTTGTCCTATGTAACATCGTGGAGTGAAGCACAAAACTGACACTTAGCATTACTCTTAGTTCTAAGCCTCCATCACTGGACTAGTGCAGGGTTATATGTTGTTTTCTAGTAACTGTAATAGAAGGATTTTTGGAAAGGTGCTGACCATCAAAATTGTACTGGTATGTATCACTACCTGTGTGTTTCTATAACAGAATAGAAATAGAGACATCTCCACACAGTTGAGCAAGCACTGCCATTTGAATATATTATAGCTAGAAAGAAAAAGAACTACTAATTATGACAAATCTCATTATGAGCTAGTTTTTAATAATGTAAAAAAGTTTTGAAATTGGTAAGTGTCAGTGCTTCTAGCAGCATCCTCTCTGAATAATAATTGCTATAAAACCGGTGATATTTGACAGAACAGGGATGGGATTGAGGAAGTCGGCTGCACCTGGTCTTTCAGTAGAAGCCAGGGCTCTTTGTTTATAGCAACAATTTTGCTACCTAAGCAATGAGATACTGAGTAACCCAAATGGAAGGAATGCAGGGATGAAAATTGTAGAGAGCCTTGCTGATCTGTGGCTAACACGTGACTGGAAATTTGGAGAAGTCCTGCTTTGGAAAGACAGTTGCTTTTATAATCATATCCAGGTGTACAGGCTTGTAGCTTAATGGAATGCATTAAAGTATTTTGGAAATGAAAAGTATTTTAGAAGAGTCTTTACTATGTCGCTGTTGTGAAGAAAAATGACCCATGCTTGAATAATGCTGACAATCATTGCAGTGCTGCTCCAGGCTGAAATGGAAATTTAAGGCGGCGCTAGCAGCAGCTAACAGTTATCCATGGATCACACTTAAGACCGCTATCTGGATGCCACTGCATTAGCACTAGTGTATTACAAAGGCAATAGATGGGTCATTTTTCAAGATTGTGGGGAAATTGTAATAGAAGCTCATAGTAGTGCAATTTTGTGAATAGGAAATGTGTCAATATACCCTGTAATACCAGCCTTGGGCCCCTTGTAATGTCATTAAAAAAATCTAATAAACTATCATGTGGTGACATAAACAGTCAGGTCTTAAAGCAAAATCTAACATATGTCTTGTCAGTATATGTGGGAATTGTAGCTTAGCTACAAGTTAGAGAAAGGCTTTAGCATGTCTAGAATATGGGTATATTAGATATAATAAAAGGGTAAGCACACTTCATGCCTTGTCGAATCTGTATAATTACCATATAGAGCAAATCCATAGTGAAGTATATTAAAATAGAGGGTCATTTAGTTCTTCTATGGCAGGTTTATATAACTCTAAATTTTCATCTGGCCTTCCTCTCACTCTTGAGCTTTCTAGCACTTTCTTAAATGTAGCACTAATAAGCCTGCTTTCTGGAAGCTTATTTTCAATAATTATTCTGACAGAATAATTTCAGCTTTAAGGAGAGCTCAGATCCTCTGAGTCACTGGGAAGGTTCTATACATTTTTTTTTTTTCTAGTAGGGATAGCTTACTCCCGTAAATTGTAATACTAACTGATTTTGAAAAGTGGTAATTTAATTCAAAACACCTTTCAGAGAGGAAAGTACTGGTTGTAGCTCTTAAAATGATTCATTCACATTTTGTTCTTACAATGAACCAATGATAGAACTTATATATACTTATATAACATCACAACTAGGTAAAGGAGAATCACTTTTGGCCACAATTTGCAGGCATGTGGTAAGTTTAATAGTGCAAAGTAGAAATGAAGTGTTACTTTATGTGGCTTTGATAACACTTTACAAAACACCATCCTTTTTTTTTTCCTGAATATACTCGTTCATGTCTTAACGTGGCAGCAGCATGGGGCTTTTTTGTGTTCTGAGGTTTTTGTTTGTTTTCCCCACGGGGCCTCCTAACTTCTGCAAGGCTGTGTTTTGCATCAGGAAAAGACTGGAGAGAGAGAAAAAAAACATCTGAGGATCAAGCTCCTGCAAACTGGGACTCTGTCATATTAGAATATGGCTAAAGCTGTTACATACATTCATTTAAATCAAACTCTGTAGTGCTGAACTCTACCTAAGGCTGTCCTGCGAGACTGCAGCTTGAATACTCTTAGTTTCTGAATTTCAGAGAAATTCTTTGCTGTCACCATGGTAATAAATATTTTGATTCTTGGTGACATATTTATATCCTAAACTTTTATTTTCATTCATGAGCACTTACAAATTAAATACACCCTACTCTGATTTCCATGTACAAGCAGACAAGGGGGACAGAAGAAAAAGCTCCTCCCCTGCTCCCGCTCAAGCTGTCTCTGCTGTCACCTCCCACACCTTCTACCCCAGATTTTCATTACCACCATATCCCCTTCCATCCCTATTTTCTCCTTGACTGTCACCCTTCAGAGCTCAGGAACGAGCTTTTCTTTCCAAGCTGGCTGTCTCCAGGTAACTGTTCAGGACAGGAGCGCTTTCGCAAGGAGCCTGCACTAAGAACATGTCACATCAGCCTCCTGGCCAGCAAGGATCAACCTGCTCCAGGTGCCGAGGCAGAGAGGGGACGTGTCCAGGGCAATCAGCTCCATTTGTTGAGGAGCTGGGAGTTGCACAGTGAGTGACACAGAGGACAGAGGTGCCCCTCCTTTGAACACCAAACACATCCTCGAGAAACAGAATCGATCTCTTTCCAGCAGCAGTTAGGGGTGACTCCATGCCAGCTTTCCATCAAACCTTCCTTAGCCATCAGTAGTAACAGCATCCCTCTGGGGATGCCAGAAACACGCTGGAGGTCACAGAAGTTGTTTCAAGGGCACAAAGTTCTACACAGCACTAAAGCATTTCAAGCTGGGCCTGAAAAATGAACGTGAAACTTCTGGCTTGACGCTCTTGGTGTCTCAATTCCTCTCGTTACAGTAGGAATGCTGCTTTCATTTCAGAGTGATAGCATTATAATAAATCCATCTTTTGAAATGCTAAGACCCACTGATAGTGATACAGAATTATGGAATCCTTAAGAGGATTTTTCATTTAATCTCTACCCTAAAGACAATGTACAGTAAATAAGACTGCACATCCATAGCCTGCTCTTTAACTGATACCATCTGCTCCCTGCACTGACCAAAACTGGTTTAGACCAGAGACACCCACTACAACTCACTTCACATGCACCACAGACACCATCAAATCCTTCCTATTCCTGAGCCAAGCCCAAGTCTCCCAGATCCCTGGCAAGTAGCACAGCCTGCGCCTTTGCCTGCCCTGGGGTGGACTTCAGGAGAAATAATTAATACTGTAATTCTCACAGGGGACCCAGGGAGCATTCATGTGAATTGTGATCTCTCCTCCTCTAGGCTCATCATCTCCATGCTCCCACTAAGGAATCTGGTCCCTTCCCCAGAAGGAATGAGCTGGGGGAAATCCATTTGCCCAAGTTTACTGCAGGAGGATGTGGAGACCCCCAACGCCCTCAAAATCTGGGGAACCACCAGTCAGTCACTGCTGCTTCCTCCAAACTCAAACATTCAAGAAATGCATTCTTTCGTACGGTCCATACATTTGACACTGTCATCAAAAAGAAAATACATTTTAATTCCTTATGTAAAACGTCCGCAAGCAGAGCTAGGTTCACTGCTCTCTTCCTAAAACTACATC